ATATTGTATATATGTATATATACAATATATATATATTGTATATATATATAAAATATATATATATATATTGTTCAGTGCAGCAGCAAAAAGTGCAAGGATATTTTCTATGCACGTATGAGCTGAAAATTTCAAATTCAGCTATCGTGTACATTTATAATACGCATAACAATCATGTCAAAGTTGGCAGTTGAAACTGTGCCAAACCGAAAATTAGCCGGAAAACAGTAGCTAAAAATTTATCAGAATATAAATCGTCTATCTGGATATACCTAAAACCAGCTTCGAGTTGCAACTGCGCCAGGACCTAAAGCACTTCAAAGAAAAGTGGCAATTTTCCCTACCTGACAAGCTGTGAGGCTGAAATTGTGCAAGGATATTCTATATTCACGCGCTGTCTAGATACGCTTTGGAGGTTACATTTCCTGCACGACAACATGAGAAATAATTGATTTTTTTGCAAATTCAAAAGCAAATGCATTTTTCGAATTTCTGTTCTGACTTCCTTGTGCACAGTCAAAATTGCACTTTTCGATGGGTGATCGTTTACTAGAAAAACGACCGGTCTTCATGCAAAATTGATAAACCTGCATACTCGCAGTCCACTCCGCCCCATGATGCAATACTGCCGTTTAACGAGCACTCTTTCCTTGCAAAGAAAATGCCACAACACAGCCAACATGTGTCCGCGTGTCAAACTGTAAAGCAAGGACCATTCATATTGCTAACGACCTGACTGCTGCAAGTTCAGCGCAGTAACACACGATCACATCGGAAAGTGTGGTACGTGGCAGCCCGGGTTGCTTTCAACTTGTACATTCTCACTATCTTAAATTTTGCATGAGGGGAAATGAATAATTTCCGGCGACCAGTCGTTCATTGGAAATGATCTGACTGTTCTGATTCCCGAGTTAGCAATTTTTTTGCCAAAAATTTCAGAGGCCAGCACATGAGGACCTGAATTTGAAAATTTTAACTTGCACGTGGGCGGAGAAAATCGCGATGAAATTTCAGCTTTCTAGCTCTTCTGGTTTCCGATTTAGCAACCTTTCAGCAAAACTTTCGCTTTTCCGATGGTAAGGCTCAAACGTGTCTAAAAGTTATAAAATATTCTTAGGGCCACAAAATAGCCAGGAAACACATTGGCGAAATGTCAGCATCAAAGCTTAATTGGTTGCCGAGTTGAAATACAAACATGCGCAAACACACGTGCACACACATTCGTACACGCAGATATATGCATGCACACAGAAACACATAAACACATATATACTCACTACAGCCAATCCAATATGCATTTCTGCATTTGCATACATGTGCGAAAACGCATGAAAACAGCTTCACGAACAGTGTGCTTGGAAGGGTGGACTGCAAGTCTTGAATTGCTAAGAATAAGTAGAACACGGCGAGGCAATCCTAGAAGTGTTATTGGGGAAATAAGCACAACGTACGGCTTTCGCGCTAAATATGCAAAAAAGAAGTGAAAGTAGAAAATTTTTATTACATCAGAAAATTTCGGTGAAAACAACAATATATACAAAACGGACGGAATCGACACAATGACAGATATAGTAGTAGGGAAACAGCTCAGGTTTCGTGCGAGTGCAAGCACCAAAATTAGACATAATGGTGTCGTGCTGTGATCCTGTCCACGAAATCGTCATCGTCGCTAGAATCACGTCGATGTCCCGCCGGAGTAGTGAACGAAACTGCTGAAATGTGAAATTTTGATCTGCTGCAATAGTTAAAACCCAAGAGTTTAAGCTCAGCCCTAACTGTCTCAAAAGTACATAGTCTGAAGCAGCTTTGGCTTATATATATATATATTGCAAGCATTTTACATGTTGCTATATTTATTATGTAATTGTTACGTTCTGTGTATATAGGATAATATTCTATATATGTATGACAATTATTCTATGTACATGTGATAATTATGTATAGATAATAATTATGAAAGAAAACTGTTGAGAAGTACAGCTTACTCCTAGGTCTTCCGGGTTCGAATGGTGCGCAGAGTTCAGCAGCAGTTAGCGGTTCTTCCAAATTCAGCGGAAGAGCGAGCGTTTCTTCTAGTTTCAGTTGCCTGTAAAAATTGAGCAATCACTCTTCCAATTCGAGGTGTTCAAAATCACAGGAGCATTTGCTGTCAAGCAAACACCTCCCTTCACAGTTTAATCTGTTTGAGGTACGTGGAAGTAGCCTGAGTAGTAGAATGTGCCAATAGCTGTCTCACTCTGACAAGGCGGCTGGTAGTTCCTTTTGGGGGCTGCTTGAAAGCAGGATGCTGGCAGTTTTGATTCCGTCGCTTGTGCCAGTACCAATTTGTCATCGAGAACAAGCAAAACATAGACGGTTTGGTTATTCGCTCAAATTTTATGTCGTTAATCTAAAGTGGCACAGTTTGGGGGGACATCCTTTTTAGTAACATGTCTGCCAAAATTTAGCGCTTTCGTCTCTCTTTCCCGAGTTATCACAACTATTGGATCGAGTTTTACAGCAGTTCAGCTGCTCTAGCTGGCCTAGTTTTTGATTTCTCTCGATTTCGTAAGCAAATCAGACAAGCTTCATATGATAAACAAATACAGGATACAAATCCTTAGTAGTATCCAAAAACGATTGTGGGTTAGAATCCATGCATTGCGTCGTAAGTAGTCTATGAATCCTTGTTGGAGCAGTTTCTGTATTCCACAGAATAGGAGTTCTAGATAACACTGTTCTTTCCCATATGGTAAAAATTATTTCACAGTAAATTAAATGTATTAGTTTACCTCTGGCCAACAGTGAGTGGCTTTCGATGTTTCGAAAATGCTGGAAGATCGTGCAATTCGAGGCTGGTGCGCTGCTCCGAACCTAAAATCAATAGAGCTTTCTCCTTCACCGTATCTGAACAGAATCCAGAATGTAGTAAAATCATTGTCGACGTGCACCGGGCGGGCCCGTGCGATCATGCGTTTTTGCAGTATTTCGTGCTATAATGAGACCGCTTGGAAACCTAGTAGCTAGGATTTATGACATACTGGTCCTTGAAGCTCGGAAAGTTAATTGTCTACGCGACACTTGGACAGGGAACACTCCGTTAAAACTTCAGCTTTCCAACTTCTCTGGTACTTGAGTTAGCAATTTTTCTGCCAAAAAATTTCATGGGCCCATACACGAGAACCACACGTATTTGGGGAATCAATATGATATCTTTAACTTTTACGAGGGGCTGGGAACATACCCTTAAAATTTCAGCTCCCAACTTCTCGGGTCCAGAGTTAGTCAGTTCCCTACTAAAAATTTCCATGGGGCCGTACGTGATAACTACGCATACTTGAGGGCTGAACTTGATAAATTTATTTTGTACATATGCTGGGAACATTCCCTGAAAATTCTATCCTCGCAGCTCCCCTGGTTCCTAAGTTAGCGATTTTCGCGCCAAGAAACCTCACGGGGTCATACGCGGGAACCATACAATTCTATGTAGATGGGGAACATAACCTCAAAATTTCAGCTTTTTAGCTTTTCTGGTTCCCGAGCTAGCGATTTTCCCGCTAAAACTTTCACGCGCTCTTACGGGGATCTAGATGTGCGTGAGGGCCGGTACCGCAGCTCTGTGGTGGCACTTGGCCGGGGAATCCGCTGGCAAAATTTTGGCGTCGGAGCTTGCTTGGGTGCTGAGTTGAAATACCCAGACAGACACACAGATACACACACACACACACACACACAC